AGATCGGGCCCGCGTGCGGGAGCAACGATGCTATCTTGCTCCTCGAGGCTCGGCCTTAATTAAAACTTTTAATTAAAGGTTACAACGAATGCTCGCATGGTCTATGCATATTCAACGTTGTAAAATATTTCTTTACGTGGCTCCCGGCCGCGGTATTCCCTCGGCCCGTATTCGCCGTTCGAGCGCCGCCTATTCCTTAATTAGGGAATCCGCGATTTTTTGCCTTTTTTCACCCGAAGCGTTTCGTTACGATCGAGTTCATGGTAATGAGGTAACTCTTACGCAGCTCCTTTGAACCTCGGTGTCCCCTTCTTCTTCGCGTCGCGCCGGTTTCGATTGGAATACCGCGCGTTGACGCTTAACATTTCATTCAGCAAGATTTTCGCGTGAATCGCGTGACCTCGATAAAGAGAAAGCGCAATTAAAATCTTCATTTTGTCAATATCCACGTTAATCTACATCGATAGATAGGATGAACGCATGAAAATTGCTGTCGAAATTGAACGAGGACACTCGTCCCGGAGTTATAAAAGTTTATAACGGGCGATGCTCGTCTTCGAGGCTCTCGACCCGTGGAAAAAGGACAAAGGACGTTTCTTCGCTCAAGCGACTCCGTTTTAACGCATGAAAAAGTGTCTCGAGGGAACGGGGGAATGCGAACGACGCCACTGAAAAGCGGAACGTCTGTAAAGGCAATAAATCGAGGGGGTAGATTCCGGCGGAGCGGCCGTTTGTAATTAAGAGCGCGAGACAATGGCATCGAGACATTTAGGTGAGTTGAATTCCTTCGTGGCGTAGCCAGTGACACGGACAATGCTCGTCCTCGACGAGTCAAGTGACTTCTCGACCTCCCTTTAGAAACGCCGCGCTGCGGGCAGAAATGTGGTCCGAGCTCGTTTAGGAAACCGGAAGTTGGTTACACCGGCCGATCGATATTCTGTTACCCCAATCTATTCACCTGAGCACCGGGGATCCCGGGGCGATTCGGCGGATATTTTTTCATTGCGAGCTATTCTCATGGAAATGCTCAAAAGCGCATTCGCGTTGCAATAACGCGATGTAAACAACGATACACGCTCCTTTCATCGAGATTTCCATTACGATAAACATAAAAATGTAGTCGTTTTATTTTCCCTTCATGAATTACGCGTGTTACAAGTATTTACAGCGTAAAATAAATATTTTCAATAATAACGTCAAAATAATAATTCCACGTATCCCGTTGAACTATTATTTAACGTACTTTTATATGAAATATAAGCCGACCAAATGCATACAATGGTATTTATCAAGCTTTCTATTGCAATAAATATACATTAAAAATGTCCCGTTGCCATTTTCCGATTTATACACGTAAATATAGCCAAAATATCAAATAAATACGTTTTCTAGTATCATAAAGCTCCATTCTCAATGTTCCCGTTGATTCATCGTTAAATACGATTTACGCGGAACGTTAACTATCATCAGTGACTGACGAAAAGTGTCTCCTCTAATAGAACCAGCGTATCCCACGGCGGCAGAATTTTTGAGCCCCGTCAGACTTTAATTAATAGTCCTCTGAGAGCATTTGCATGTACCTGACGAAGGCTTTAACCTATATACCGAACCTGAAGTGACCTGGGTACCGATAATTGAAGGCCCGCGGGGGGTCAACAACGAATTATTTATTCGTACGGGTTTCACTGACTAGGAACGGTTCGCAGGAACTCCGATCTCCACTCGATTACGCATTCAGTTAATTTACCACGCCGGAAGAAATTCTGATTTAATGAACAGATATACCCTGATCGATCGATAGGCGGGTTATTTATTGGTCCGTATCCGTACGACCGGATCCGTGTAACGCGATCCGTTGTAGTTGCCGGACGATTTGTAATACGCGGAAAATTGCATACCTTTCCGCGGTACGTGACGCTTTTGTCTTCGGCAAAAATTCAATAAAGCGCAGGGTCTAGTTGTAAGAAACTTAAACAATGCGTTACATAACAATTCGCCTGGGGCTCGTGAATAAGCGCGACCCCGGGGTCGCCCAAGATCGTTCCGACAATCGATCATTTTCAACCTCGATAATGAAACATCAATCAAAGATGGTCGCTAAATATTTGAAGGATCGTGTCGCCAAATCATTTTCAAGGAAGCACGTCAGACGCTTGATCGAGTAGACACGCGATTCGCAATTTCCTTCGGGAAACCGATTGGGGATAGAATGGTAGAATGAGTAATGGACGTCGCTCGAGACGTCTTGGCCAGGAGTTCGAGTGAATGTACGCGGATCGGCGAGCTAGCGTGTGCAATTGGACACGTTAAAGTGCTTCAACGATTTCTATAAAGTTGGATTCCAATCGATATGTATTGAAATTTCTAATAATCATTTTTTATAGTTTCCTTCTTTCTCATTGTAAATAATACCTTTATGCGAGAAGAATATGTTTGTTTAAATAAGACCGTTTATACAGATTTTGTGAGCTTGCGTCCTGTATGACCCAATTGTGGCTAGCTGTAGGTTAATATTGCGTATAATTATTACATATTGAGATATTATTAGAATCCCCGATTTGCTAACTGTTCTTCTTCAACGAAGATAACGATCGATGGTAAATA